TTCCAGCCCCCATAGGAAACATAAAGTAGATATGCTGATATATGCATATACAGGGATAAATATCACTATCATGATAAACCTTCAAATAAATTACCTGACGCTGAAGGGGAAAGAAAGCAGTATTAAGTTTACAGCTATTCCTTTTCAGATTGAGTTTCTAAGACCATGTCTCAGAAACCATGTCTCAGACCATGTCTAACCTATGGGATCCAGGAGCACTTCCCAGCCTCTAAGTCTTAACGTATGCCAGCCACCCTCTGATGTGGAGTTGGAGGCATAGGCCAGATCTTTCCTCCGATACCAGCGGGGAGGTGTAGCAGCTGTCTTCTACCTCCATTGGAAGAAACTTAAGCATGCAGGCCAAAAGCAAGCTACTGGTGGGGTCCCCATTCTGGAAACCTGAAGATTCAGGATGCCAGACCATGCCAGGGGACCTGGCTCACAGTGCAAATTTAGGATCTTTAAACACAAGAAAGCCCTGTAATCCACTCCTGATGGGTCTTGGCAAAAGTGATCTTTGAGCTGCTCAGGCTGGGCTAGTTTGTGACACACCCAGAAAGAGAACTGGAAGCAGCCAAGGAAAGCAACATGAGCAGATATTTAGTGAGCTAAAGGGAGGTAATTTCGCACTGCTCTTGGCAGCCAAGTCCTCTCTTGAATCTTGTCTATAGTTTCTGAAATGTGTTTAATTTACCTTTTGTGTGAGAGGTGCTGGAATGCGGATGAGGGATGTTGGTTCTGCACCCTTGGACACCAGCACACGTGCCATGGCAGAGCGCAGGACAGTTGCTCCTCCAAGTCCATGAACTGGAATCTCACATTACTGAATGGTATTACAATACTGTGAATCCCTCTATTGCTGCCATGATGCGGTCAGGTGAGTTCATCTTGCTCTATATTTTGTCTCTAAATTATGGCCCTGACCACATCCTCAGTGGGTGAATGTAACAAAAATGGCACCTTGATTTATCCTTTTATTTTCCACTGAGCAGCAGTTCAGAGGCTCAGTGAGCTGTAGGTTGCCACTGGTCCAGCTAATCTCCATTATTTCTACTTTAGGTCTTGCAATGGCTCTTAACAAGTTCCATGACCAATTCTGCACTTTGTGAAAAAGTGGACTTAATTTCTTTTTTATTATTTTGCATCTTTTTCCTGGAAAAGATGAAGAACTATTACTGCTAATGCAAAATGAGCAGCCTTGGCACCAGATAGTCCTGACTACTCAGATTCCAGGCTTGAGGGTCTGATAAAAACCTTAGTGAAACTAACGGGAATCTTTCCAGAGTAGCTTTACCTAAAGTCTAAAGGCATGGACATACTGCACTCCTAGAATCCCATAGGCACATAATCCTATTCATCCCTTTACTAAAGAATGATTAGCAAAAAGGTCTACAAAATCTACTTATTTCGCAATACTAAACTGCTTCCAGTGCATTCCCAGATGTCAAATTCCCTCTACATTCCCAGTGCAGGAGCCAAACTCTTCAGCTTCTCTCTTTGACAATTTCCACTGTGCATAGAGGGATGTGTGATTACAAAAATCTGTGGTGGTTTAACTGAATATGAAAGTAGGACAAAGATTAAAAAACATGAAGTATTAACCATTAATTCAGGGAAAATCTAGCACTGTGATAAATGGTGCCTAATCGTGGATGTGTTTAAGTCATTGCTGAAATATAATGCCTGGGGCATGGAGAGGCAAGATAAGGAAGGCTGAAGAAAGATCAGCATTGCAAGGCCATTTAACTCAATTACTATACTCCTATTATCACAGTTAGTAAAAGTAAACTGCAGTTGTTTCTAAATATGTCATTTTTATACTGCCTATTCCAATACTTGCTATACTGCTCAAAACCTTAGCCCCTGGAGGCATAGGATTACACCAACTTCTCAGTTGTCATCTTCTTCTCCCTCTAAAGCAGGCTTTACAAATGGAAACTTGAAGGAAGCTCACGCAAAACCCTCAGAAGCCAGGAGACAAACCAACCCACTGGGTTTTTTTATGCCATGACTTTCAGAAAATCTCCTGAGTGTTTTTGGTTTCTGGGTTTAATTTTAGAAGTCAGAAATACTGGAACAGAGGCTGTGTCAATACCTGAGCTTATGAGTCAAATTAACAAGCAGTAAATTATTCACAACAGATGTAGCTCTACATAAACAGAAATCTACACGGGGAATAAAATACCTGCAAGGAGATGATCAGAATGAGCTCTTTGCAAGATTCAGGAAGGCAGAAAGCAAGCGCTGCAGCGATGTTTCTGGGTCCTGTGTTTCCAGTGCTAACTACAAGTAGGAAGCAGGGCACTTCTCTGGTGGAGCAGCTTTACTGAGAAGCTCTAGACGGCTGCTCGAACTCTTAGAGAGGCAGTCATTAAACTGCTGCTATTCTACAGTCTCCGCAGGCCTGAGTGAATCTAAGCTCAGATGTGGGAGAGAATCAGGCTCATGGGAACTGCGCCTTCTAACTTTAAATTCCAGCTCCTCTAAACCTTCCTTTCATGGGCTAGTTATTGTTTCTAACACACCTGTTAGATCTGTTAAAAAAACTCAGAGAAAGAAACTTGGTAGCAATTCTTTCTTACATACCATCTCAGGTTTAATTTACACTTTAATGTATGTTATTACCAGCTCAGGAATAGCCAGGACTATATGTGAATTCGCATATATCGACGTGACCACCACAACCTAGGAAAAGGGAAACATAATTCAGACGTAGTGATTTTATTTGACTTGACTTTGTTATTATAAGCCTGACCATTGTAGTTATAAGGAATGCAGAGTATCACAGGTTTGCAAGCACACTGCGCTTTCTAGTCCTAAGGACTGATATGGGAAAAGAATAGATCTGTAAATACTGTGGAGTGGAAAGATGCGCCAAAGTGTATGCCCAGTCCCCACCAACTGTGCATAGATGAAGAGCATCTCATTCTTATCCATGACCTTACTTGAAAACCTGCATGGGAAAAGCGCTCATAGATGTATATTCCAAAAGGAGGATGTACTGGCACAAAATTAAGGGGCTACGGATGACTTTCAATGGCATAATGGCACTAATCCCAGCCTCATTTCTCTGTTCAAACAGCAAATTAACTGGCACATGCACCTCACTAAGGATGTTTATGGCATACTTTGCAGACATGCACAGCCAAAGAGGTCACGTTTTGAATCTGTAAATTACTCACACATTTTACATTTTAAATAAACCTGTAGATTTATTGTACAATAGTACAGCATGTGCCTTTTTAACCAAAAGCTCAGCATCACACAACACTTTAATCTTCCATTTAAACAAACACAGTCCTACAACACAGCTCAGTTCAGCTAGGAAAGCTACATAATGAATGAATTTATTGAGAGTCCTGCCTACACTGTTCTTAAGGATGTTTACCTACAGCAAGAACAGTGGCAGTGGTTCTGGTGGTGCAGCATTTAATCACTTTAACCTGTTCTCAGCACAGTAATAGCAAGCAGTCATCTAGAGCAAAATGAAGAGATCATTTAAGGGACACCACATTTAATTGCAAATGCATGAAACAGTAGACCAGAGGATGTCACACATGTAATACAAGTACGAATTAGAAATCTGTTATGAGATCACTTTGATGTAACGTCTGCACTAACTATGCCACACAATCCACCACACAGGAAGACCGGATGCATGACAGGCATCACATCATGTAGTAATATTGTTTGGACTGAAATTGTTAGGTTTGGAAGGGGCAGAGCAGGGTGTTCTGTACAAATATACACTTGCCTTATTACATTAGTTTACAGGTCAGAAACACTCCTGTAGCCATTTGCCCACATGCCAGCAGTCTCTTGTTATAACTAATTTTTAGACTGTTTGCTTTGATTTTACCTGGTTCAGCTGAAAACAGTATTGTTGCCTCCAGACACAGAGTGTGTTTTGTGCTACATGTCTTAGCCTTTCAAATTGTCATAAACACCCGAGTTGGTGTAACTGGGCATCCTTTATGCACACCCTTGTGCACAGCTAGCCACAAGTTGTTATAAAGACATGTTCAGATAAGATCCTTCATTTGCCACAGGGGTTCCTCATCGCAATGGAGATTCGAAGTTCATCACTGCATAATGACTTACAGCAAGTGAAGTTCCCCTCAAGTTTGTAATTAAATATCTACTACCCAAATGAGCTACAGGTTACATAGCAAACTCTTGATCAGAGAGAGAAAGTTTATGCCTTTTTATTGCTGTTCAATTTATCAATGTGTGTCAAACCTTAAGACTGTTACTTTAAAGGATCAAGTGCTATTTTTATTAAAGAATTTCAAATTCTCAGAAAACAGTATTTTCAGCAGATTTTTAAATACCCAAAGGAGGTAAATTTGGGTCCTACACCTGAACATGTGATTTTTCACTTATGGCAGGAGCATGATAGTGCATTGTTGGTTGGTTCTGAACAGTACTGAACTCCTACAGCATCAACTAAAATAATATGTTAATCAAAACACAAACAGTAATACTAAAGAAACAGAGGAAGGAAGTCTATACCGAACATCTGATCTTGAATTAAAGTAGACCAGCAATAGTGTGTAAGCTTTCAAACAGATGAGATGCTTAGCTGCTATCAATTATACCAAATTGCACACACTATGGTTCATGTATATTGTCTGACTCCTCTGCAAATTTCACTCACCTTAGACAAAATACTAAGGCAAGCTAATTCAAGTACACTAGAAAAAAGAGGAGGAAGAAGGATCTTTTTAAATCAAAGTTGCTTTTTGTATCATCTTCAAGTATTTTGACAAAACTTCACCACACTGAAGAAATTTTCACTTATCTGTCTTGCTTCTACTTTTAGATAAGACTAACCAGCAGAAGAAACAAAGTTGGGAACAAAACTGTTCTTGGCTTGTAAGACTAAATGCGTGTCCTCAGTAGACTTCCAGTTCATTGTCTAAACTGTAATGTTTTGGTAGCTTTCAGTGAACATACGAACTTTTGGCTGATTATCTAGACACCACTGACACATGTAAAGATTGTTGAAAAGGTAGTTATCTAATTAAAATAGACATCACCTGAAACGTTTTTTTTTCTTGCTGTAAAACAAACACAAGCAGCATATTAAGATGCACAAGCTCTTCTTCACCCATTCAGAATTTTTAATTGGCTTAATAAGTAATAAGAAATAATTAAAACCTAATCTTGAAATATCATTAACAGTTTAAGGAATAAAGCTCTCCTATTTCCTGAATTCATTCCATGCCATCTTTAATAAAAGAGCTTACGCAGATTCCTTCTGCTTACTAAAATGAAGTCAGGTTATGTTTCTTACATTTTTAAATAGCCCCAACACCAAAGACATACAAAATGTTATACTGAATTTTAATCCTTGTAAAACATTACACCACACACTGTTATTATAAATCTTTTCAATAACATCCATTATAGAACTCAGTAAAGAGCACTGCCTACTACTATGCACTGTCAAATATTTCTGGCAGTATTGGGAATTGACTACAGCATATTTCTTTTTTAAAATCAAGAGTTAACCTACATATTCTGAACTTGCAAATAATACACAACAGATTGTACTTTCATATAGGCTGCATTCACTCATTTTTTTCTGATTTGTATATAAGAGTAAATTTTCTATAACAATATGAAAGAAAATTAATAACTTATCTAGCTAGGAGGCTAGTAGTTATCTGTAATCATTTTAATCAAAAGATGACTGAAAAATTCAAAGTTAATTATTGTGAAGTGCACAAAATCTAGAATATAGGGACTCTCCACAGTACATTATACTAAGTCAACATATAATAGATTAAAAGCTGTAAAGCCAAAATCTTCATTTAAAAATTTAGTGTTTCTGACATCATCTTCCACCATTCCATCAACTCTTCTTTCTCTTCTTCTTTTCTTTCAGACAGTGACTCCAGTTCAAAATCAACCTAAGAGACACGATCAAAAACATCAGTAAGACTTGTAGAAAGAGAGATGCATAGGCTTTTAACAGTAATTTAATGAAATAAGTTGTTTAACACAGACATGGGGCTTAGGGAGGTACCTTCCATTTTAGGCTAGGTTTATTCCAAACTGTCTCAAAGCTAATTTGAATATGTGCAATGCTAGTATATCAGTACAATAAACTTATCTAAAAATGCACACAGGTGAGCAAAATTTCCAAAAGAAGCCAGATATATGTCCAGTCTTTGACTTGCCTAAAAATTTCAAAAAGTATGGGTCAATGAAATTTAAATTGAATAATAGCCAGCCACATAAATTATCTAGCATATAATAAAAGGTACAGCCAGCATATTGCTGTCTAACACCCAGCAATGCAGACCCCCAGCATATCAAAACACATATTCAATTTTATGCCATGAATAAGATCCAGGGAGCTTTTCTGACACACAGCTCATTAATGTAGATATGATGTGCTAGTGTAGTATATCCTAGTATATGATACACAGTAGAGAAATAAGCATTTATTTAAATTGTTGAGAGTGGAATCCACACACCTGTATAGAAGATGAATTAAAAAAATGCTTCTGAACTCTTAGATGCAGCCTAGGTCTTATCATACATGCTGGGTATCTACACAAAGCAGCACTCCGTCACTATCTTTCTGCACAGAGCTGAACACCGTTTTTAACCTCTGCAGGTAGTCACTTGACAATTTAAATTAAAAGTATCAGGTCTCAATGAAAACCTCAACATCTCTTACTTTTTATGTAGCACTATTTAAAGATATTCTGTAATCTTCTGCTTGGCTATTTACACATCAACCAATAAAAAAAAGTTTAAGTATGACAATATCACCCTCCTCTGTGTCTATTCATTTTAAATAATACCAGCAGGACATGAAATGAGTTTACCATGAGATTACTCTCTGTGGCTTGTGCAGCAAGTACTAGAAAAGTAGATTTCCAAACTGTCTTCTAAATTAGCATATTCTGAAATATTCTGAAAAATCACCTCCTGCTTACATGTATACATGAAGGAAAAAAAGAAAGAGACTTTTTTATATATATAATAGATGATAAACTAACACACACGTGAGCACTTACCACAACCGCAGGGCTAAAGGGCACAGCCACTTTTTTAGTTATTGCTAGATAGCCTGGTGCTGAGGCTGTAAGTTTGTAATTTCCAGGCACAAGCAATCTCCAGTAATCACCATCCTTGGCTGTAGAGAAGAAAAAAATCCACATAAATATGTATAAAACTAATCACACGGCTAAGTAGAAGGGACCATGTATCTTGTCAGTCTTTTGTATTCCTGTCAGCCCTTTCCTTTTGTCTGTCTGAAAGGATTCTTCTGTAAGGGCTGTACAAATATATTATTACAGATTTTCTTCCCTTCTGGTAACCAAAACACAGATTTAAAATCCGAAGTTGTGCTGTAGCCTCCACGAAAGATTTTGCCTGCTGAGGCTGAAGGCTCTCCTGCACACTGAAGAAAAGGACAATATGGGACATTATTCTACTTTAGAAGCAACCCCTGGCCAATGTACAGCTCTTGTTAAGTGTCTGAGTTTCAGTTTGCAATGCAATGTGAATTTTTAATGTCCCTCAGTATTCTGAAAATCCAAATGTAAATACATTTGATTCTCATCAAATTTAAATAAATAGGACCACCTTTCTCAATTTTTCTTATCTTGCAGAGAAAGCTATAAATCGTCATTTCCTAGAATATTCCATGTGCATCACCCCTGAAGCATCACTATCTAAATGTTTCAGTATCCAGGCAATGTCTGGGTCTTTTTTCTTCTGTTTAGCTAAACAGAGAACTGAAAGTTTGATCCACTCAGGCCAAAGAAAGGCTCCTACTGCACTGAGTGCTACTGCAGATCATCTTTTTCAGTCATAGAATAAAAACACATCATCCTCTTCTCTAGAAATTACCATCTCCCATTTTCACAAAGACTCAGATCCTCCATCCATCAGCAGTAGGCAATTATCTAATTTGTCACAGGCTAACACTCTGAATTTCTCTATCTCCAGAAAACATTGCAAGGCTGTTCTAAAGGCCAGTTAGCAGTGCCATTTAAAAGACTTGGCCACACTCTTACTGCCAATTCCTTAAATGCTTTTTCAGCACAACTTCAGCTACACAGCACACAGAGGGAAACGTTACTTAAATGTCTGCAATTTGCATGGTCAGAAAATGTCAGTAGTCAGTCCAGTTGTTCCCAAACTTTTCTCTTCATAAAACAGAAAGGAAAAAAATACTGCTGCAGAACTACGATAATGATCTATTCTAATTCCTGGCACTGGAACAAAGCTGAATTTTAACTCATGAACAAAGGAGCAGGGGAAAAAAAGCCAAAGAATATTTATCCTTCTTTTTGAATGTGTTAAAATTCAAGTGCTTGTTTTCCTCACTGTTTTGACAATAGATGACTTCTATGCTTATACACACACAATGTGAGAGGAATCATGATTACATGCTTTTTTGTACCGTAGAAGCATGAGCTGTAGTACCGTATGCATCACTCTCTCATACCTCAAAACACCTCTTTGCACAGCTTATTCCCTTTTTATTATCCCTGAAAAATTATTTCCAGCCTCTATACTTTTTCCCTTCTTATGTACAGTGAAAGAAGATGGCTAATGCTATCACAGAGTGTTCTGCTTGGCAGAAATACGGGCCTCTTTGCAGGTGATGTGAGAACAAACACAAATCGAAGCCAACTGAAGGGTCTACCAGTCCTGTTTCATAGTATTCTGCACCTCTGTAACAGTATAGTGAGACATATCATTGAGAAAATGACCATAATGTAAGCTCATGCATAAAGCAATGACATTTTACTATTGTTTTTCTAATTAGTATCTTGTGCAAACAAACAAAAAAATGTCATTCAGAATAAGAAAGCGTAGGTCTACAGGGAAGATTGCAAGTTGGCACTGTGCGAGCTACCTTTGAACTCATTCATTTATTCAAAAAGCACAACACCATCGAAGAAGTGACATGCAATTTTCTGTGAACACCAACATGATACTTTCCTCTTTTAGAACCGCTCTTATAAAAAAAGTCACAGAATTGTAAACAGCAGAGAGAATTTATCTTCACAGGAGGAAGTTATGTAAACTGAAAATCTGGCAAGAATCTACATACCAAAAGATATGGTCACATCATAAGCAATATAACACTTTTGGACCACAATTTAGCCTTCAAACTCAAAACAGCACTGCCGACAGGACTTTAAATCCTGGCAGAGCTGTGAAACACTGCTTGCACCGCAAATCAGAAGATAAACTAAGCATGAATAACCAAGACCCACCAGAACCAATTCACACCAGAGATCCATGAAGTCCCAACAAACAGTCTCCAGCTACTTTGAGAGCAAAACACAAGAGAAAAATTCATGAAATCCTGCAGGCAACAAGCTTCTTGAGGCACAACATGCTTTCCTGGCTTCAAACTTTTGCTCCCTTAAACCTTCAGCTAATGAGATCTGAAATGGCTCCAGGCTGCCAAGCAGAGGGAGAAGCAGCGTATTCCAGCACTTCCCATTTTGCTGAAGTACAACACTCACCTGATGTAATATCATGGCTTATCCCCTCCACAGAAATTGTAGCATTTGCTATTGGATTGCCCTGAAGATCTTTGACAAACCCCTTCACTCCTCGATGAATCTAAAATAAATAAATAAAGTCAGCAACACATGGGAAATCACTGGAAAATTCTTAAGAAAAGAAGGCATTTACGTCAGTGAAATATCTGTTGATATATCTAACGATGCATGTCATGGATCCCACCATCTACATGCTGACAACTATCAAGGATAATTACTAAACAACATAATGGAACAAACAGTGAAGCAGAAAAATAATTCAGCTGGTAGTTATACTAATTTATCTGTGCAGTGCAAGCATTTCTCAGAAATATGCAGCAATTCATAACATGTGAACACTGACTTGAAAGTCTTTGTCACTGGCGATTAGTGAATGTGCTGAAAAGCTTTGAAAAACAGCCTAAAAAACCCCCCTTTTTTTTAAAAAAAAAGTTCCATCAACTGTAAGAATTTAGGGCTAATAAAGGGCATAACTGCTTAAAAGTGAAACATTAACAAGGTTAATTGCAGGCACTTGGACTTTGATGGGCAATCCCTGTGTGAGGTGCTTGAGCTCTCTGCTGTGCACCCAAAACCTCCAGGTCTTTGAGCTGGGACCACACGGAGTCACAACACTCCCCACATGGCCTGTGAGAGAAAGGCGATGGGGGGTCATGTCCTAGTTCCTTCTTCCCTCTCAGGCAACGTACTCCTGGCAACAGCACCAGCAGTACCTAATCTGTCTGTTCCCAGCATATATGAAATTAAAGCACTGATTTGACTGCAGTGCGGTGAAGAGACCAGTCCTGCTGGTACTTCTTGAGCATGGTCTGAAAGCAGACTGAGCTCCTCAGAGGCAGGAGACTGAGGGTCAGCTACCTTTTCACAGCCTGAGATCGGGAGCTCTCAGCGCTGGGGAGAATGGGATGTTTTGAACCTGTGCAGAGATGCATCTCATTGGGAGCCTGGAAATTAAGCGGGGAAGTACTGTGGAGTTCATGCTTCATTCTAATTCTGTGATATTTGAAAAGACTTGTGGATCACAAATTCTGTTTTGAGATTTTGCTGTTCCCCTTTATGAACCTGTATAGTGTATTCGGGTGCTATAATTTAATTCACCAGATTCCTCTAATCTACACTGTGGGAGAAGCCTGACACAGATCGGCTTAGAAAAGCAGAAAGCTCATATTTGCACCATCCTCAGCAATCACGGGGGAGCTGGATCATAGAGCTGGACCTCTTATGCTGTAGGAGGATAAAAACCAGTGCCAGATAGACCATCTGAACTTCAAGGGTAAAGCCAGAAGCTCTGCAGGAGCAAAGGAAGTTGGCAAAATAATCTCTTCCACGTTAGTAACTTTGAAAATGCAATGACACCATAGTTTTCCATGAGTCAGAGAAAATTAACCCATGTGCAAAGGAGCTGAACAATTTGAGATGGATCCCATAATAAATGGGTAAAAACCTGCAGGGTGGGTACAGCTTTTTCCTCAGCCCACATAGAACTGACTAATAGAATGGTATAACTCAAACATTTGAAATATTCAAATATTTCAGATTTCTGGCTAACTAAAGCATTTCTGCACAGATAAGATCTTAAAGAAATGAATGTATTAATTGACCAGCTCTGCTAACAAAGTATGTTTCTGACTTTGCAATCCCAGGTGTGCAGCCACTAATGATATCAGATAAATTTCTGATTTTTAACTACAGTATCCAGGTTTCAGAAATTTGATACTCCCACACTGCTTGGAACCACCACTTCAGTGCAGCCTGTTACACTGGCATGAAATGATTAAAAAGCCCCCAAACCAAAAACAAACAGACAAACAAAACCAAAACAAAAACACACAAACAAACAAAACCCCACAAACACACACATAGATCTGTTTCAGGGATCTTAACTTCTAGCAACCCATTAGCACAAGATTATCTCAACCCATGACTATGCTTTACACTTTTAACCAGATTTTGTATATTTTTTAATGGAATCATCACACTGACAGCTCTATATTGACTGCCAGCAGCTCATGCAATTAGAGAGCAGCGGAGTATCTACAAAACCAGGATTAGAGATGTCCCCTGATGTTACACTGGACTGCCAGGCAGCTACAGTCTAATCCAGCTGTCTAGGCTCCCTGTGCATCCAGACTGATTCATTCCACATCTGTACACACACTTTCATACCTGTAGAGGGCAATCCATCTCTCTTAGTACACATATCAGTGCTGGGGACATGAATTATACACTCTGGTGATGTGTATTTCTTTTCATTGAGGAAGCTGGCACAATTTCAAATTAAATGTCTGTAAAAGCTTAAATTAGGCGAGATGAATTCCATACTATAACATCTTCTTTCTTTTCCCCTCCTCCTCCACATATTTAGAAAGATCACACAGGATTTACCACCTTAGAGACATATAAGAATTATGGAGCACCAATTGGATTAATATGAAATTTTGAATTCAATGTTCACACAGCACAAAGTTTAGAAGTTTTACATACAACAACTAGAGTTTTGCCATCCTCGTTTTTGTTACCTGCTCAATGTAATTGATAAGGGAGTTCTTGTTGTCTTCCCAGTAGCCCTTCAGAGTTTCTTCAGGTGGAAATTTTTCACAGCTAAGCTCCACTGTGATTTCAAAGCAGTTGCTGCTGAGGTAATTAAAATCCTGCATTCCTGCAATGGCAGAAAAGAGAGATAGTGATGCATTTTGCATTGTTCTGAAGTAAATACAGTAAAGGGGGGGAATGTGAGATGCTGGGGCTGTTAAGGAAAGAATAGCTATTAATACAGTTGGTGCAGTTCCATTTCATCAGCTTAGTTCTGAAATCAGAGGCATTAAATCAGAGAAACCAGCAAGACAATTAATTCCCAAAAATATTTTCTTCCCAAGAAAATTTTAGAAAAGATTTAACACCTGGCCTATATACTTCTACCTGATATTGTACCTGGCCTATATACTGCTCCTACCTGACATGTGTTTTTCAATAGCTGACATATACTTTTTTTTCTCTTCAGGAACAGAAAATTATTTCCAATTATGGCTAAAATATTTTCACATTAAAGTAAAAGTGATCACTTTGTAAACCAAGAAAAATGACAACTAATTATAAAGCAAATGAAACATGACAAAGTGCCTTTGAAAAAGAGGTTTATAAAGACTGGTCAAAAACGTGGTGTTTTTTTCCTGAAATTATAGGGTTTCAACTTAGCAACATTTTACAAGAAAAGCATCTGTTTTCTAAGGAATATTCTTTGTCAAGCTTCTCAGCATAGATTCCAAGTATTTTTGCTTTTCCACCAAAAAAAAAACCCAACCCCAAAACAAACTTCCTATGAACTTCATTTACATGGAAATTTTTCCATAGATGGGGGTGTTTCCCACCCACTCAATGCCTCTGCAATATCAATAATCAATACATTAAGAGAAATATCACTATTAATACAACTTTAATGATAGGAATTTACAAATATATACAGTGGCATCATCACTAGGAATACAAACTTTATGGGAAAGATGTACTCTCTTAGACTTCTGAGCGTCTCCTCTTAACTACATGGAAATATTGGCTATTTTCTCAAATCAGTCAACAAATAACCAAAGTGGTTTCCATTTTTGTAACTGGATCGACCAGCTGGAGAGGGACTGTGACTGTCCCCAGGAGGGTTATAAATATATTCTTTACAGAAGCTGATGTAGAATTAGCTCTTGCCTTCCCAGTCTACCTAGCTAGCAAAGTCAGTGGATTCTCAAATGGAGGACTGAAAAGAAAAAGGCTACCAAGCTTTTTGAGCATCCCCATGGAGGTCACCAATGGATTTAAAAGTGCTTCAAACACAGCTAATTCATTCAGCCCAGCCCTGTGATCCCTCCCACAACCTATACATAGGGGACCTAATGCAGTCTCTTTACTGAAGCACCACTGTTCTGCACCAGTCCAGAAATGTCCAGAGAGCTGGTGTCCCATCCAAAAGGGAACACCAAGGGCAGCAAACAGATTGAGTCAGGTGGGATTTTGCCAACACGTTAGAGTGAATCTATTTTCTGCCAACCAGGCAACGAGATGCCTAACTACTGATAGGAACAGGGAATTTTCAGATTCCCAAAGGAACACTTTTATTTCTAAGCCTTTTTTAGATGGCTGAAAGATGAGGACACAGAAGGCAAAGGTCCTCCTGGGAGGGACGGCTCTGATGTCCCACCAGGCAGAACGCAAGCTGGACCATTCAGCAGTACACAGCAAGAGAGCAGCAGAGTCATGAGTAAAATGCTGACAGCGGTGCTGACTGCCAGGCATCTGTTCCAGACACTAGATAATGTTGTTTTTCTTAATTTTTGCCTTTCTTCTACAAGAAAGAAAGAATCCATGAAGAAGAGAACTGGGAGCCGAAGGGCATGATGTAATTTTACTGTGGTGCCAACAACTCTTGACCATTACTGCTCCAATTCACTGGAAGTTTCTCCCTCCCTGCCACCTCCCAAAGCAAGGATTGCCATAGTTTCTCAAGGACAGAATAAAGAAGCAATATATTTTCCAGTTTTGTGCACAATGTCCATATCCTAGAGTTTGCTTCCCAGCTCCTTGCCTAGGCCACAGTTTATACGTGTGGCTTCTGAAAAAATTCAGCTTGAATCACTGAGCTGCAGGTGATGATCTGACTTTCTGGGACGGAGAATGGGGTGAAGACAGCCTAGATCTAAACTATGGCCTACTACATCTGTAATCTGGAGAGCATCAGGCTGGCTACATACAATTTGCACTATTTACCTGCCTGTTCAATGTGGCGATTAGGTGCAATATCCAAGAAACCAATACATTTCAAAAGATTTATTCAACATTGTGGCAACTTTGCTGCCACTGGTCAAGCTCCCTAACTGCCCTATTCTTTCTTGTTATGCACATGCCATACATCACATGCATGCACACCACCACAGTCCCAGAGCCTCTCATTTTAACAAAGGATAGCACAGAACTAACTTTCATATACTCTAACAGGGACCACTCTCTGAATATTGGAAAGTTTTAGCAGACCTCAGGTATAACTGGGATTTCATGCCCTTCACTGCTGACCATGAGTAGGACTTTTCTTTGAAAATGAGCAACACAAACACTCCTCTGTTGCACTGCTCTACTATCCTGAAGGACTACAGTGTCTCTATGTTAGTACTCACATAAATAAGCTTAGAATATGGAACAAAATTAATTTCTTTAGCTTTTAAAAAAAGGAACTCCAAACTTCACAAAGAAAGCGGAGTGCAGGGTGTGCCCCTGGAGTCCAGGCATCAGAATTACTTAGACTTTGAGTTACAAGCTACAGCACTAAGCTAGTTCAGCTTCTACACATATAAAGACAGTAACTTTTAGCAGGACTGGATGAACTTGAGCCTTGGCCATAACAGGGAGAACATGTGCCTCCTACACATGTTCTATAAAAATCCTAAAAAAATTTACCTAACATTGCTTCCAAAACTGGTAACATGAAAGGTAATTCAAGTTAGGAGTGAATTAATTGAGTGCCAAGAATTATTTGAGAGTATCTGAAAATAAAAATGACAGTTAAACAATAGCCTAATGGTACAGCAATGTAAGCTGCTTTGAAATGCTATTTTTGTAATGACACAAATCTGATTAGACTCAGGTGACTTTGTAATGACAGAACAAGCAGAATGGACATGTGGCTAGCTAGTAATTCATTGCTATCTGCTCTTCTCATTTATATTTCCAAATAGATATTCCACACAAAAGGTACATTAAAAAAATATTATCGATGTTGAAAAGTTATGCATTCAACAGCTAAAAAATATGCCAAAATTAAAGCTGTCTGTGCAAATTTAATTTGGTTTTCTTGAGAATAAGTGAAATCATTAATTACATACTGATAGGGAGAAGTCCAGTGTTTAAAATAGCATGGATTTTGTGTTTTTTCCCCAGGGTCTGGTGGCTAAAAGGGCATTTCCTGAGCGCAGAAGAATGACCTCTTTGCCTTTGCTTACTGCTCTCTGAAAAACCTACAAGGATCAACTAATTACAGATGACAACTAATACAAAGCAAGGGTAACAGGCATCATGGTCTCAGATTTAGCACAAAGATGCTGTTGGGGGAGCTATTTTCTCTGTGCCCCTGCTCCATAGAAGAAAATAACTACTAAGCAGTTAACAGTGAGAAAAACCTCACAGCAAAGTATATTAAGTGACAGAGGCAAGTGTCAAATATTCCGGTACATCATCTGCTCCCTCCACCCCAAAACTTGAATGGAGAATTGCCACCTTGCCTGAGGTTAATGAGGAAATCCTGAGGTTTGACAAGAGGGAAGGACAGAACATGAATGCAATGGAGCGTTCATCTTTACTTCCAGTTTGAGACAAGGGCTGCTACCAGACTTTTCAGCCACCAGATGTTCAGCCTTCCAACTGAAAGAACCCACGTATTCAGAAAACCGTATGCAAAAGCAACCCATACTCACAGGAGAGAGCCACCCATGTATTATCCCCACATACTAAGGAACCAGCCAAGACCGCTGCTGGCCCACCATGTAGTGCTGTCTTTTACAGAAGGTAGAAGTTCCTGTGGGTGAATGATACGGGCAACGAAATTGATGCAGCACAACTGGGGCACCATAATGTGCTCTACAGGGCAACACCAACTTTAGTAACTTATTAGAAAGAAAAATCAGCCCTTCCTAGGTCAGAGCTCTTGGTCTGATGAGGAACTGTCCAAGGCAGCATCTAGGAGAGCACAGCCTCTCTCACTTAGCACAGCTGTCCTCCACTCTCTCCTTTTTCCTTCCCTCACCACTGCTCTGCTAAAGCCATGCACTCCTTTCTACACCAAACACAATTCCAGTACCCACCCTCACCTATTTTCTCTCTATTCCCAGTCACTTTGCTCTAGTTCTCCTCCTTTCTCTATAAACCTGTGGCAAGTCCTCTTCTATTTTGCCTCCATTCAACCCACGGAGATCAGACGGGGATGCAAGCCTAACCTCTAGATGCCCACAGGACACTGAGCTACTCTCACACCCCCTCGGAGGACCCAGAACAGCCCACAGCAACCCAAAGGTGCAAAGGCAGAGAAGCACCACGTTAGCTCCAAACTGGTGCAGATGCCATGCAGACAAGGTCTTGGGAGAGTTTCTCTTGATAAATTTTGAACTCTGGTAAGGATATACAATGCAATACTTTTCTTAAAGCAACACAGATGGCTTTTCAATAGCTTATACCACTGCTAACTTTGAGTGCGTTATCATATGAATACCAAAAGATCACTGATACAACAGATAACTTACATGCCACATTTCAGTTTCCAGACACAGCTTTTCAGACTAAAGCTTCCAAGAAAATTTGCACTTGAACTAAGCAATGTTTAGTTATTTTCCTTAACACTAGACATGGAAACAACAGAACTGTTCTCACTGAATTATTTTTGTTTTTTTAACTCAGGCTGTGGCAAACATTACCGTGGAGGTTGCATTCAAAAGTCACAGCTTGCCAGCTGATTTCTACACTTGGAAAAAAAAAACAGATTCATGTATGGGCCAAAGTATATTGTCGCCTTTCTATTTTTTATTAGATGTACCATATTAGGATCATAGATCCTGGTTAGAACTAGGATTCCTGTCTACTAACTTCTGTACAAATACATGAGAAAAAGAAAGGGCTCGCTTGGGGAATTTGCCATCTAACTTAAAATAAGATCCAAAAGGAGGAAATAATTCAAACTTTCCAACAAGTTTTTCCAATGGAAAAATGTGCGTTTGGCATGTGCAGTTTAGTCAGAATCAAAGCATTTCATCAAAACAATGGCAAGATGGTTTTTTTATAGCATTTTCCTAAGGAAAAAGAAGCTGAAGTTAAATATGTCCATGTTTTTATAGTTAATATTTCATTAAGATAATTTTTTGACTGAATTGAAAAAAAAATTAACTATTGAACCTCTCAATATTTTATTTATATTCAGGTTTTTTCAAATTACGCAAACTCTGTTTTGTCAAGGGTGTTTTAATGGTTCCAATTCAAAGTCTGTGGAAAGCTTCATACGAAGGGAAATTTTTGCTTTTCAGTTATATTCCAAAATGTCAACATTTTACCTTACACCCAGTCTGTGGTACCTGTGGTACCACAGCAGAGGAAACATGCTGCTCCTGTGAAGATTGGGAATAACAACTCTAAGTTTAAGCAGGTAATCACGGGCTGTGTGAGTGCTACCAGTCATTGTTCTGCCTCTAATTTCTTCACACAAGCTTAATTATTTTCCTTTTCTAGTGTCCTGGTTTCAGCTGGGATAGAGTTAATTGTCTTCCTAGTAGCTGGTACGGTGCTATGTTTTGAGTTCAGTATGAGAAGAATGTTGATAACACACCGATGTTTTCAGTTGTTGCTAAGTAGTGTTTAGTCTAAAGTCAGCGAGAAAGCTGGAGGGGCACAAGAAGTTGGGAGGGGACACAGCCAGGGCACCTGACCCAAACTGGCCAATGGTGTATTCCATACCATGGGATGTCCCATCTAGTTTAGGAACTGGGAAGGGGGGGGCAGGGAATCGCCGCTCGGGGACTGGCTGGGTGTCGGTCGGCGGGTGGTGAGCAATTGCCCTGCGCATCATTTGTACATTTCAATCCTTTTATTATTGCTGTTGTCATTTTATTAGTGTTATCATTACCATTATTAGTTTCTTCTTTTCTGTTCTATTAAACCATTCTTGTCTCAACCCACAAGTTTCACTTCTCTTCCCGATTTTCTCCCCCATCCCACTGGGGGAGGGGGGGTGAGTGAGCAGCTGTGTGGTGCTTAATTGCTGGCTGGGGTTAAACCACGACATCTAGTACCCCCTTTATTGTAACAGGAGCAGAGTTAGGCTACGACCTAAGCTGTCCTAATGTTTTGAGAGATTCTTACTCATTCCAGGTAAAAATTTAAAATTCATTCAGAGACTGTAATTGAGTATTAAGAGGAAAGCAAACAATAAAACTGGTACGTGTGTTTGAGGTTGTCTGGTACAAATCAACAAAGCCAATGCACAGGCAAATCACTCCAACACAAGCTGAGTTTCTGGCTCAGAAATCCCCAGCTCAGTTTTCACTCCAAAGTTTTGTCTGAGTATAGCAGACGCAGAAGACTCAAAGATTTAGATATCCCAACACCTTTTTGCTTCAGTTTACAAAGAAAATGACATAAAAATTCTTAGTAAAAACAAATGAAATGTCTCATTTCAGGCTACTCTTATAAGACTTCTCCTGGAAAACTAACATTGAAGTGGCCGCAGTATCTCTGCTGCTCCTCTTTGCACAGCAGGCTCTACCAAAGTCTAGGGGAACACTACCTGGGCAGGAATCAGGCACTAATTAAGACACAAAGTATGGAGACAGAAGTATCTTCATGGCTGGATTTTGTTCCTGTGGAAATCGAAGGCCAAACTCTCATTGTCAATAACATTGTAAAATCAGGCTTCTCCACTTCTTTCAAGGTTGGATGCTTTCATTATTGAGGTTAAAATGAACAGTCAGTAGCCTGCTGTCTCTCATCAGGGTTTGCTAGGGGATTTTTTTTACTCTTTTTCTAATTAAAAAAAAACCCTTAAGCTCTCACGGTAGCATAGCAATCACTCACCCACTGTAGAACTAGTAAATTTGCAAACCTTGAGTGGAGAAACACTGTATAAAAAGCAATAAAAGAGGAATATTTTAATAGGCATTATGGGATTGTGTAGATGTACTGTGGTGTGAGTGATCTTTCTCTGATTTAGCCTTAACCACACCAAAAGTTGTGAATAACCTGGTGGTATTCCAGTCTGTAACTAAACCAGTGAAAACCCAAGCTTAAAACAACCATCAATGACACCAAACCCCCACGCAGTGGGGCTCACCTCCCGGGACGCTGTACCATGCGCCGCCATTAGTTGTTCCATCCACAAAGCTGCTGTCATCGTCATTTTTGCGACATGGTGGTCTGTTTGGATCAGACATAGCAGGATTAAAAGAAGAATAACTTCGAGCCAGGCTTTGAAAAATAGCATCATCGGGACAGGAGCTGTATTCGTGAGCACTGCCTAGGGAAGAAAAAGAGTTCAGGAACAAGGATTATTAAAAGGGCAGTCATATTGACTGGTTTACAACCTAGATTACCAGCACTGCACAGCAGGACTGTGCCTGGAAATTCTCTGGACACAGGTAAGTGTCCTACCACATCACAAACTAATACAGCATTACCTTAATAACATTAACATTTCCCCAATACTTCATCAATTGCCTGTACCAGGTTGCCCCATTATTAAGGTGACTATTTATATCAGTCCTAATATTTATGAAAATATTAATTTAAAAGTACACCACAAGACACACAGTACATGGGCAAAAGTGTCTCCCTAGAGAGTTTTATAGTCTGATATTAAAAGGATTTGCAATTAAAATGCGATCAAGTAGATTGAAGGAAGACAATCAATCACAAACAATACCATCATCTCATGACCATTTCAGTCATGTGCACATCCTGTACTGGCAGAAAAAACAACTAATATTGCTGTGTGTTAAATGGTAACATCTCTGCCATCATCTCTGTGATCCTTTTTATATGGGACCAATACTGAGAAAGTGGAAACAATGATAGTTGTTTCTATTTGCACAGTACCGCTTTCAGAAATTCATTTTTTAAAGGTGCAAGTAGAGAAACTTTAGATCATACAGGCAGTCTAGACACATCTCTCTTGCTTCAGTTAAGAGGGCACAAACAGCCCCAGTTAATTTAAGTGCTAAGTTGCCTTGATTAAAATATGTGAGGGACCATGATTCCCTCAGGTATTACATCATTTTTATGACATAACTCTACTGAAACAAGCTTTCTATCTTCAAAGCTAGAAAACATGGCCATACACTGACTAGCTTTAAATGTCATTAATATGCTAAAATAAGTCATTACAAAGCCATGACATGATGTTTACAGAGTGGATCTTAGGTAGCAGTGAAATAAGTATAGAATGTAATTTATATCTCCTACTATTTCATGTTAACTTCTATTACATACCACTCCGAGTCTCATCATAAGGGTAGTTTGCAACAAGGTCTCCTCCGTGAAGATTGGCAGAGAGCACAAAGGGAATATCCATAATCCAGTGAATGACACCTTTCGTTTCAGGAGCAAGCTACAACAAATATCATTACCAGCAGTTACAAATTGATAATTCAATGTAGAAACTTATTCAGTTATATGTAGTGGGCTTAATTATTCTCACATACATTGACAAGCCATTTAAATGAACAGCAATTTTATTTTGGCTTCAGAGAGAATTGAATCAGTTCTTTACATCAGAACCAGTCTAAATAGATTAATATAAGTCTAAAATTGGTGTAAATTAGTTCAGAATGAGCCCACAAATAAAGCAATCTTTTACTTCTTCCCATTACAGCTAAAAAAAGCCTACCAAATTTAAAACCACGGAAAATAAACAAATTCAGAATAAATCTTGGTAGGATGCAGTCTATTCTCGGCACAGAAAGTAAAATTAATTCATTTAATAATTTGAATTTGAAGACAGAATATGGCTATTAAGGCCAGAACCCTATGGGACTGCAGTCACAACACTATACCTCCTGTGGGCGTAAACACAAGAAGATAGAAATCCCTCCAGATATACGTCTGTATATTTAAGGCTTAAGCTTAACAAAAATGCATATGCGAGAATAGCTATCTAGCCAGCAATGTAATTAAGTACAATACACAACTTAATTTCTGGCAATGGTAAAAATGCAGAGTATCTGCATGAATAGCTTCAAACCAAGGGAGAAGGCTACGCAATCTCTGGCCTTAAAAATAAAACATGCTTTGAATGAGGAATTGTCTAAGGATTAAGCAGTATGGATCAAAAGGGTTTACTACAGCAAGCCATTTTCAGAAGAATTTCAGGAAGCATCAGACAGATAAATATAATAAAATGAACAAAATATTTAGAAGAATGTGAATTGTAAAGACCATACACACAGCTCTTAGAAGTTGCTACAGGTCTGCTTGTGTAAAAGAGAAGAGATGGGCAGGTAAGTGACCTGATCTTCAGTCCCTACTTACCTTAGGATTCTGGTCCACAGCTTTTTTCATGTTTTTCAGCAGATGGTTGTTTGGGCCACCTTCTTTCTCATTAACATAGACTATTCTATCAAGATCTGGGAAATTCCGGTTTAGATCTATCCCTTGGGCATTACTTCGACCAACAAACCAGTCTTTAAGTTCACCGGGCTAGATGACGAAGGGGAACAGAAAGAGAAGGGAGATGAGTAGATTCAGGAGATTACATATCAAGCTTTATATGGATATATTTAGCCATGTAAATTCAAATCATGGGTTTACTTGTCATGTTCTCGAGAATAAGAAGGGATCATGTGGGAGTAAAGAATTCTGAAGCACTAAGAGCTGAGTCACCCCTAATTCTTCCTAGAGCTCTGTGGGAACAAAACCAACCTCTACTTCACTGAGGGTCTTGGAGGAGAGGATCATTCTCATAGTGGCACATCTGGACTAAGGATGGGCAAAATTAGCAGCAGCATCAGATTTTTCAGTGCTTGCTGAGTCTTCCCCGAAACCTGGCTTTTCCCCGTTGCCTCTTGCCCATGGTTGTGAATTACAGACCTCATTTTAGTGAGCCTGAGAGCAGCTGTAGATTTATCAGCCAGCCACAAGGAACGTTTGCACGTGTTTCAAAGTTCCTCTGAAGAGCGTCAGGGTAAAGAAGGACCTTAATCCTTATTTACCTGAGACTTTTATTTTTATGATGTCTGTCAGCTTTGTTCACTGAAAAGGTAGCACTGAATAAAGACACAATGAGGATTTTTGCAAAATCTTTTCTTTAAGCTGAGTATCTAAAATACGTTTTGGGTTGCATTAAGGAAATGCCTTCAGAGTGCATAGTTTTCCCTAGCTTGTCTCTGTAACATTTCAGTACTGTTTAAAGTAGGTTTAGTTTGATTACTGGCTTTAATCTTGGGGTATAGTGAATCTGTCACACGGACTGCGTACAGAATCAAGATACTTGTAAATTAGAATAACAGTGGCACTAAAGCAACTTGTATTATAAATCATATGTAAGTTGTACGGCAACCATGTGAAAGCAAGTGTACTTTGACTAAGGAGCAAAAGTTTCAAACAATGTTATTACAGAATCTCTACAGAGAGAGATTTCAGAGAAAAATACTGCACCAATTTGAGGACCGCTTCTGCTTCATTGCCACGAGAGGGAGACATACTACCGAATATGGTTTAAAAGAGGTCTGTGGTTTGGGAGGGCGCGGTTATAGCCTTCATGGCAATCAGTTCAGTTAAGATCTTAATGAGGTTTGACTCATTTAATCATAAATAAATAGTCACATAAAAAGATTCAATATTTCCATGTTCATTTAAAAATAAATACACCTTGTAAAACAAGAAAATTCTTATTTTTGTTTAGAACATAATACACACGAGAAGCTGTATATAACAGGGTCCTATTTGCCCTCTGCTAATTATGCATTAACACATTACAGGTTTCTTGACTGAGTGGTCATCCTAAAATACATGCTAAATTTTCTTGACTAATAGCTTAATTAAAGTACCTCACGCCTGAAATTTAGAATCAAACATTCATATTAAAGAGATGGCTCACAAAGTTTACTTGTTTTGGGATAAAGCTCTGATGAATGTGAATAATTCATGTAAGAGCACTTACATGAGAATATTCTTAAAGGAAACCTCAAGTTTCCCTTTCCTAACACTTTTGAAACATCATGTATCACTAGAAGTTACTTGTTTAGGAAACAGTTTGGTCAGTGAACTTAGATGAAAGAACATGCGTAAACCATAAACATCATTATATTTTAAAATACAGTAAAGTCACTTACAAGAGAGACAGCTATTTGTTGAAAATCCAAGCATAAAATCCGCTTTGTTAAACAGAACAAGCCTACTGTACTATTAGGAAACACTTCAGTTATGTTGTTCCATTCAACAATCACCACCAAGAGTTCATGTGTCTGTAAAACTGCTAGTCCAAGTATCATTATATTCCTAAGGTTGATACAGAAATTGATAACCATTCTTATACACATAGCCTTACAAACCTGGGACGCTGCCTTCTCAAAGCCATCTGGGTTCAAAGATGGCATAATATGGATACGCGTGCTATGGATCAAGTTGATAATAGTTTCATTTCCTTTCTGGTATTCGTTACACAAGTACTGAGCCAAGAAGATGAGCAACTCCCTTCCAACAGCTTCATTTCCATGCATATTCCCAACATATTTAAATTCCGGTTCTCCTGCAAGAAAAAGGAAGAACATGTCTGAGACCAACATATAAAAATCACCCATGGACTGGATCACACAGCCCACCTGAGATGTGGGTATCACTATTACTACAACTGGTCACAGTATCCCCAGGAAGCTACAAGCCTCTTTCAGAGAAGTGGATTTAGGTTTTTTTCTAAACTCTGGCTAAACAATTAGTAATTCATATTCAGCTATTTGCCAAAGGCAGAGAAAGAAAACTGGAGGACAACACAGTATGCCAAAATAAATGCTAAGCACTGCCATTAACATTGCTACTGTTGAGATCTGATACAACTGGTGCCTCAATACTACAAAAGAGTGTCTTGATTAAGTAGTTTTTAAATATAAATACCGACACTAACAGAGCTTCTTATCTTTAATGTTCTCTCCAAGATTAGGTTAAGCTTATCGCACTACACAGGCATTAAACTGCAATTCTTCTACCAAAGCATTGCCAGTGAACAGCTGTTGATCCTAGTGATCTGAAAAATCTTATGCAGCAGATGCTTTGGATATTCAGCTCAGACTTTATGAAGCAAGTGTAATAACCTAACTCATAAAATTAATCATTCCCATTTAACATTCCAATAAACAGTCCAGTATTAAATATATGCTTAAACATTCCATATATATATTCATTAATGAACATATTTAATGATGATTTAATATATATTGTATAGTCATATATAATATTCAAAGTGTAATATGTATTCAATATATATTCTTTCTATATAGAATACATATAAATAAGACGCCCAATATTGCCAATTGCTCATTAGTCTCATTCTGTAGACACAAAAACCATGCAAGATATGTCTTACAGAGCTCTGAAGGATTTACCTTTTAAAAAACTACATGTTGGGCCCTGATTCCAGAGAGGTTTTAGTATACATGTAAATACCTGAATGAGGTTAAAAGGATTGTCCTGGAACTAAAATGAAGAATATGCTGTTTTCTGGGTTGAAGCCCCTTTTTCCTTATCCTTTGCCTTTTTAAATGCAGTTCCTCTGTTGTAACAGTTTTAATTGAACATTCTGCTGACTATACGCTCTGAATAGTCTTTGAGCATACTTTGTGATAGCCTTTAGCACTATCCCAGGGGCAAATTCAAGCCAGGAAGAGTGTTACACAAAGGAGGTCTAAATAATTGCTAATCAAGCACACAGTCGTATCTACTTATGACTCTTCAGTCTGTGCTTGTTAACCTTAATCCAGTGAGTGATAAGATGCTAGCAGACACAGTGCTATTAATACCGTGACTTCTTTCCTTCCAGCTAACATGGTTTTGTACATATGGATTTGTCCCTGAAATCTTTTGCCAGGTAGGTTACGAAGTTTTCTAGTTTCAATGAAATAGCTTCATTTTATCTCATAGACACAATGCCATGACTGTGACTAAAAACCTCCATTTTCTCTTTTGGCACTGAGCTCCTATTTACTGTTTCTTCCTACCTGTTAATACCAGGGAATGCAAGAGGTCTAATCATCAAGAGTAATCAGACCGTGCAATCAACTGGATCCCATTAAAAGAGATGGCTACTATTTAATAAAATACACAGCACTGCACATCACATATACTCAGAATACTCATGCATATGTATATTGGCATGTTACTTATAGGAAGAGTGCTTCACAAGCTAAGAGGCAAATTTGTTACTGCGGTAAATATGAAAACGGTTGCATTTTGCATTTGTGGTTTTCCCGAGGACATCACTAAAGAAGCCTGAAAGGGAAATATTTTCTCCCGATTCCCAGCCCTGTGCATTAATCACCTACCTTTCTCTCCTACTTGAATTTTACAGGACTGGTTCAAATGAAGAAACAGAAACATATATTTCCCATAGGGTACTGCTTGGCCCCCTCCCCAGAGAATTGTTAACAGTGTTTAGAAGGGTTCGTGAAAACAGTCATGGGGTCTATAGTGAACCAAGAGTACAGCCTCATCTACAGTGTATCTTCAGTGGTAACGACCTATCTCAAATGAGCATTAGAAGCTAAAAGGAGTTCAGGAAGAGGTAGAGAGAGTCATTGGAAATATGGAAAGTCTTTCCTATGAAAAGCGGTTGCAGATATCAGCCCCATTTTCCTTAGGAAGAATAATAAGGGACAGTCAAATATACCGAACATTATGGCATGGAGGAATCGGTCTGGAAAGCAGCACTTCCCTACACCACGAAACAAGAGACAGTGATTTTCAGTAAAAGGGAACAATGACCATTTTTAGATGGATAAAGAAAACATTACTTATAATACAAAGTGTGAAACCAGTATTCAAAGAATCCTGTTGGCAGCGAGATGTCAGCAGAACTCCAAGTTTTGCTAACAAACCAAGACTTAAAAAAATGATCTAGATGCAAATGCAAAAGAATGAAAAGGGAAAGATAACAGGGAGATGAATAACAGCCCTGTTTCAAAACGTAACTTTGTGTTCATATATTACCTCCCCTGAGCATTTTCTTACACCTTTCTCTGAAGCAAAGAAATCCATCTCCTATCGATCCTCTGGCTGCGGAGAACAAGGCTGTGCAGTCCACACGCGTGGGAACTGTTCTCTGCCAGCCTCCAGTCCTGCCCGTTTTCTTACTTCTGGGCACAGCAACCAAAGAAATACTGGGTTTCTGCTCAATATCAGAATACATTGAATGCCAGACTGTATCTGACAATCTTAGGAAAACTTGTCATCATTTCAACAGTTTAATTTACATCTAAAAGAACAATGGAAAGAATGGGTCTTTCTCATACCTAAACTTTGCAGCTGCATCAAGGGAAACAAACTTGATTTTTACTGTTTATTTCAGCAGAAACAAATTAATGCTACAAGCTGGCTGTGGGGGAATTAGCAGCTCGTTCATTAGTTGTCCAAGTCCATCATGGGCAAAGTCAGGGAGTCCATTCTAGAAAAAGGGACAATGCTGCTAAAGTCATTAGTTATCAACACAGTGCCCAAAAAGCCGAGGGAGCTTCCACAGGCTACGATCTGCTGATACAACTTTGCAGTTAATGAAGCCCTTAATTTGCATTTGCATTTCTGCCTTTCTTGTTAGAGTAAAAACTGCAACTCAGGGTGTACTTTCTGGAAACCTTTTTTTTTTTTTTTTTGAGTCACTTTTACCTAAATTCTTTCCTAATTGTCTTTTTCTCTAGGACAATGAACTCCAAGCTGGAGGGCAGACTGCTAGCTGAGGCCAACAAAAAACCACCCATCACTCTGTTGGCTGAGTTAAGCAAGCTCAGCTGCCCGAGTTTTAGTGAATGACTCTGCGATGCAGCCAGCATCCCAGGCCCACTATGGCTCCCGAAGGAACCAGCTGCTTCTCCTTCACTCCATGGGCTAACACAGATACCTCAAACGCTGAGGATGCCAGCCGTCTGGTCCTTAAGCCTTAATGCTTTATGGGTTCCCTGGTCTATTCGTTGAATATGTCTTGCCACACCATTTCTACACACTTGAAGCTTCTCTGGAAAACAGCCCACCCCATGGGGAAAACAGCCTTCGGTCACTTGTTGCTAGCATGCTACTTAGCTAGAGGAAGAGCTGCCCTTCCCATTAATCCTTCATGAGCCATTTAATGCAGACCTTAATCACCCTTCATAGGATTCTGTAACCGTAATTGCCTCACAGAATTTTTTTTTTTTTATTAAAAGACTCTAAATGTCAATTTGATGAAGAACTTTTAAACGGTTTCTTCAAACCAGTAGAAACACTTCTGTTCCACTGCAGAATGGGAAGTAGCTTTAAGGGAGAAGAAACTTGAAGAAATATAACTGGCTTTTCTCATTATCTTCACCCCCGCAATAAAGTAAAATTGTTTTAATGGATTCCCATGGTCCAAGATATGATAAACACAAAGGAATGTTTCTCTTGGTTGAATATTTAAAATACTTATTTAATGAATTTTATTAATTTTCTGATTATATATCCTGACAAATTATAATCTCTCATTCACAATAGCAAAGGTATATCTTGTGTAACATTGTATGACATTTATAAATGCTTACATGTAATTTCAGCTCAGATATGGAGGTTTGTGATAATGAATGAATGAGTGGATACTAACATCTTTCAGGGCAAGTCATAAGAAATGAAATGCAGCAATCAAGTTTATAAATATCTTCGTATCTCTGGTGAAACCTAAGCCATCACATCATTATGGCTTTTAGAAGGCTTTTACATCCCTCTTAGACTAACTGCATGGTACATTACAACCTGATAAACGATTGAGGAAAAAGTATTTTAAAATGTCGTGCCTTTCTGGTGCCTGACAAACATTGTGAAATGTCACCATTCGTTTCTGTAGTTGCTGTCAGCTAAGGTCTTCTGCAGTTTCCTAGGAACAGCATGTACATCGTTAATATTAGACAGATCGTCCAATTAAAGATGACTAACCACTGCCATGTTCAGGTCAGGCTGTATTTGTACAGTAAAGACAGTAATTTTCTAAAATGTAGGGACAAAAAGTCTAGCACCTACTAATTATATATCCTATGAGGCAAGGTAATGTCATGCCACTAGTCATGGTCTAAAGTCAAGCAGTCAACTTTAAAATGTACAGTATTTCACTCACGAAAGTGCAAGCCATATGGAAGAAAAAAATTAACTACTGGAAAGTTTAAGTGCTTAATGAACTGTTTTGCAAATCAGCCTCAAATACCCTTAAAAACTAGACTCCTTCTTCTGCTTTCCTGTATTTCTTATGGAAAAGCCAGCAACGTTCCTGAAATAACAGACTTAGTGTTTTTGATTACTTACAGTTGCTTGTCATTTTTAATATGGCAACCAGTAGACTTTTCTTGTAGATAAATGGCATGGAAAATCTCAGAACCCCTGCTGGCAAGAAATTCATTCATTAAATGTGATTGAAGACTTTCTTATGCTCCACATTTTTGTCAGTAGTTTAAAGAGAAAGAAATTCTCTGGAGATCAGATAAATGGAAAACTGAAGATTATAAAATGGGTGTCTCCTTTGAATATGAAAAAGCAAGAGAGGGA